TTATTTTTATAATTAATTGGATTTATGCTTCATAGACGGAAAAGGATTAACATAACAGCAGCATATCCTAAAATCATTTATGAAGTTTTCATATTATTATATTACAACAACGTCAATTGCATACAATATAACTAAGAGAAGAAGTCTACCATTATTGGAGGTGGTGTTTAGGAGGTGAACAAGAGTCGGCGCAAGTGTAAGAATAAATGACACCCTTTCACAGCTTCAGACTGAACCCAATTTGAAAAGAACTGGTCCATTTTGAATGCGGGCTAGCAGAAGCGATACAATTTTTCTTCCTAGATTCAACTAAAATCGTTGAAAACGCTGCATAAGTGTTTTGAAGAATCTACTTAATCATGAACAAAACTATTTGAATGGCACAAAGAATTCAGTGAAGGTCGTGAAGTCATCGAAAACTTGCCTAATGCGAGTCGTCCATGCACCTCTGTTAAGCGATATTCTAGTTAGAAATAAAAAATAAGCGATTTTATTTTTTATTTTCTAAGTTTAACTACTCAAGAATAGATCTACATGTGAATTTTGCAAAATTCAAATTATTTTCGAAGATACATCCCGGCATCCAAACTGATTAGTCCGGAACTAATCGAACACAAGGCATTACGTGAAACTTTAAAACCGTTTTTCTCGAGACTGTCGTTTTCAAAAATTTTCCAACTTTTCAGTAGAACCAGACATTGTGCCAGTGTTGTAGATAAATCCTTTTTTTGTATAAGATTGCTGGGGGGTTGAAAACGTGGATATGATCAAGTGCCAATATTCCCCCCTATTTTCCTGTATTCTCGTAATGTTAATAACAAATCAAAAAAAAAAACTCATGGAACGTAATAATATTAATTACATTTTTTACGACACTTCAAAAATTATCTGAAGTTCATGCCTCTATACTAGAATACCACCCTAATGACGATAACATCGAAAGAGTTAAAGAAACAGTGCTTGAAAATTGTCGTGATGGCATCAGAGAGATAGCAGAGGAACTCAACGTCTCTTATGGATGAATTCAACACATTTTGGTTAATGATTTGGGTATTAGGTATGACAATGCTAGACTAGAAGACCTAAATCTTTTGCAAAATGACATCGAGTAAAGGTCGCAAAAGGGATGCTTGACAAAGCAGCTGAGGACTCTACATTTATCATTACTGGTGACGAGACATGATTTTGTGAATTTGACGTTGAGACTGGAAAAATGAATTAAGTGTTGGCATGTTCGAATTAGCTCAGGAGTCTATGTGGAGGGCAATAATACATTTTTTTTTATTAAAATACGTGAAAATGTTGTTTTTAACGTCAACCGGGGTATATTTGATCAGATGGAAAAATCTATATTTTCCTTTAATTTGCATTTTACGAGCAAACTTAATCGGTTGATTATTATGTATATTTAAAATCACAATGACTATTCGTTTGAGCAAGTATAATATCCTTCATTGTCTCGACATGCTTTGTGGTTAATTCTTTAATCGTTCGAAGGATATTGTGGGAAAATTTCATATCCCAGAATATTTTTACTTATGTAAGGAAGAATAATTAAAAAAAAAAACAAAAAAATACGATACTAGGTCTACGTTTTACCACCTTCAGTTTGGTATTCTTTTGCTCCCGTTCATTATGAAGACTGATATGCCAACGATTCTTATATAGGTATTTATTATATTTTTTGTGAAACTTCGATAAAGTAACCTGAATGAGGTATTTCACTGTATCCAAGTCCTAACCAATAACATATTTCAAAATCATTCCACTCTGGGACAAACGGCTCTTCACGCGTAAATATATATGTATGCACATAAGTAGGGAGAAGGATATATATCTATTTTGAATCAAACGGTAAATAAAAATAATTACGTGATAAGCTATTTTTATCCACACACCTCATCTCATTTTTTCTGCGATTTTTTTCTTCTGCTTGCATATTTTATTAAAATATAATATTATAGAACTGCCTATGTATTTATTTTTAATAGGCGACATTTTTTTCTCTCAAATTAAACTTATGTATGTATGTTTGTGAATTATTTTACTTATTTTGAATTTTTGGCACATTTCATTTTAATGAGCCACTTCATCATATAGACCATGTTGACATATTTATTTTAATACATTTATGTTTGTATGTACATATGTAGTTATTCACATAAAATTTTGTATGTGGCACCTAAGGTATGCCAAAAAAAAAAAAAAAAAATTGATGAAAATGAATATGTGGGCGGTGACATCCACAGCATGTCGATTGATTGCGTCCGAAAAGTCGGAAATAAGATAATCGTTTTATGTAGATATGGTATGTACATATGTATATATATGTAGGTATATAATGCGAAAATTATTTAATTAAATTAAATTTTTCAACATTTCAACCACTCTCTTACCAAAAGACTTTTGCATACTTTTAATATATGTATTGTATATTTATATAAGTATGTATTTGTGTGCGTCGTTAAGTGCCCGACTGGCTAGTTGGTCAAATGCTTTTCCCCTTTTCATGTTGCTGCTTTTGTTGTGATAAACAATTGGTATGCGGGCGCCATTGTGGTAATTAAAATGGTATTGAATTTGGTAAATTTCTATTTTGGTCATTTGCATCTTGAGCCAAATTGGTCCGAATTCCAAGAGTTGGACGTCAATATCATCAGATCTTCAGCAATATATACACATATAACTGTAATGGAATCTTCTGCTGTCGTCATCACATCATGTGCCGGTGATAGTGTTGGAATGCGATTAAAAGTAAAATACCACAATTTTAATGAATGAATTTATCAATTACGTTTTGCGCTTTTATACTATGAACTAGGGCTGGTGCTGGTGTAATACTTTTATTTTTATTTTTATAAATTTTGTGGGTATACAAGTGGGTATGTACTCACAGTGGGACAAAATAAAGCAAGAAGTAATATGGAATTGAAAAGAATATAAAGTTAGTGTGTTGGAAAGTAATAAAACAAAAATAAAAAAAAATCTATAAAAAATAAAATACCTGCGTTATAAGTTCAAGATAAAAACATAACCTACAAAAATTAAAATTAAAAAAATACTTGAAAAAGTGGTGTCTATTGAGAAAGTGATGAAATATTCCTTTTTTTTGCAAACCGTTAATTTAATTCCTTAAAATTAAGTACATTGATAAAAAAAAAAACAAGAAAAAAAACGTTAACTTCGGCTGCACAGAAGCTATAATACCCTTCACAGGTGCATACTTTTTTGCATAAATGGGTATACAAAGATATTGATTTTTATCGGTTTACTTATATATACATATAAGCTATAATCGTCTGTTCTGAACAATTTGTTTGGCATTTGTAGCGTTATCTTCGGCAAGAAATCATGCCAAATTTCATGAAGATATCTTGTCAAGGTTTTCTATACACTACTATATGGTAGCTGCATATAACATATATGTAGTAGTGCGATATCGCCGGTTTCGACAAATGAGCAGCTTCTGGATAAAAAAAAAACAGCAAAATGCCTAAAAAAAAATCAATGGATCTTATCACGCTGATTGTTTATATATGTACATAGCATAACGGAGACCCTACGACTTTTCCTCCGACCTTCAGGTTATATACTGAATTAAAAAAAAAAAATCATAAAATAAGAATTTTATTCATTTGCGCCGAAAAGCAAGCTGACATTTTTGATTGCATTATATCAAAGTCACTTGCTAGAAATAATACAGGTTGGTTAAAAAGTTTCTGCGCTCGAAATGAAAAAATACTGTTCTCGATACGAAATATATTTTTTTATTTAATATAATCTCCCTTAACTTCAATATACTTATTCCAATGATCCTCCAATAATTTTATGCCTTCCCTTGTATGTCTACGGCTGTAATAGCTTCTTTATTCGACGAAAAACGCTTTCCACGAAGGAATTGTTTCAGGTTTAGAGATATCAACGAAACTCAAAGAAAATGTTGGAAAAGCATTAAAATACTTCTTGTTCGAGACTAAAAACTAATATAATATTTGCGTGTTAAATGGTATACACGAAGGTTTTACTAACTAACGGTTTGATCAAGGATATATGTCATGTATGTAAGTAGTACATAGTTTTTTTTTCAAGAATTTTTTCAAAGATAAAACAGATTAGGATTTGAAAAAAGAAAAAAATATTTATTTAGAAAACTCTCATCTAATAAAGTTGGGAGAAAATTTAGACTTTGATAGAAGAAAATCAGGTATCGACGCGGAGAGCTTTTCACAATGTCACGTATTATAATCGAAGTCAAATTTTACTGGAAACGTTGTTTTTATACATTCGTGTTTTTGAGACGGTAATTGTAGTTTTTAATTTTTTTTTTTTACTTACCGTGGGCCATGATTTGAATTTTTTTTCTTCTATTTTTATAATTTATAAAACTAATTTTCAGTTGTTGTTAGATGGAATTTTGTTAGAATAAGTCCTCATGAAACAGTTATGCTGAAAAATTAGACATGAATGTGTTAATGAGATTCCGTTTGTAAATAACTATATCAAGTTTAAAATATTATAGCATACCTTAGGGCGCAGCAGCCACCATATTCAGTTATTTAAATAATAAACAATCAGAGCTTGCAGTTATCAGTTTTGTTGCGCAGATATTAAAAACCTTAAGTAGCAGCATAAATCAGCACACAAACTGGATATAAATCGGTTTTGGTTATATACATATGTATATATAATTATCTTCCACAGAACATATTGTCTATGAAATAGATGGGGAAAAAGATATTGATGTTCTACGACTGCCACAAATACAAAAATGAAAAATGTCAATTTCTGAAACAATTTTGAGGAGTGCTGCCGAATTGAAAGTCTTTGGCCGTTTGAAAATACCGAACCTTTCTAGTTAAATATTTTCCGACAATTTTCCTGCAAGTTTTACGCCACGTTGCCTTTTCAAAATTAGTTGGCAACTACTTCAGGTATTTCACTTCTTGCCTTAACGCTGGAAATATTTCTAATTTTTTGATAGAACTCAAATTTATTTGCACATACAAGTGCATTGGATTATATTTTATTTGCCTTATTTTTTATATGCACTATACATAAATGTGTGAATCTTGTTATAGTTGTTTGTTATGCGTCTGTTTTGCTTTCTCTAGATATGGGTTGTCTGCCTTAATTAAACTTAGCTCTCAATATGCGTGAAATCTTAGTGTTTCAAGTTATCTTTTTCTTTTTTTTTTCTTTAATAATATATGTATTAATATCGTATAAAGTACAATTTTTTTTGTTTTTAATTAGTATTTTCTTTTGTTTGTTTTCCACTAACGGTTGTTCTATTTTTCCACCTGTTTCGCTGAATGCATAATTTATCAATAAGAAAAAGCATAAACTTAAATAAAAATAATAAAAATAAAATATAGTTACATATAATCAAATTATTTTTTTTTATCGTTTTTGTTTTTGTTTTTGTATAACAAGTACCAGCAACTGCTCATTAACTGCCACATCGTTAATCGTCACTGTCATTAAGATTTATTATTATATAACTTAGTTTCGTTTGAGTTACTTGTAATCCGCGTATACATGCTAATGTTTTTTTCCTTTTCACCTCTTCATCTACGTCTTCTGTGTCTGCTTTCCTTGTTTAAATATATAGTGTGTATGTATATATGCTCATTGCCTACGAAGCACCAAACTATGATTTCTATTTATTAACGAACTTTGCGGTATGCGGAAATTTCTCAGCTTTGTAATTGGTGTCTTTTTGCAAGCGTTCGCGCACGTTCGTACGCACCGCATCTCTAAATGAAGTGTGCACCGTCGCCTCGTTGGCGATTGCTTCTGTGATTTCCTCGGCCGTTAGCGATTCCGCGGCGGCTGTCGTGGACGCACGTGGTCCCACCGTCTGTATGGCTTTGCGCACGCTGCGTGCTACGAGTGAGTTGATATCGGTTGGCGGTTTGTTGTTCTGTACCATTTTCCTTCGTTTAGCCGACATGCCTGATATGTACGCATCCGAGAACGGTATCTGATTTAGCGGATTCTGCAAGCGGAATGCATTAAATGCTTGTAATTGATATTGTCACATAAATATTGATGGGTACTTACTGCACTTTGTGTATGTAGATCGCGTGTTATGATCGGCAACCAGTCAGTGGAAAAATTTCTATGCCACGGCTCGGAGCCGGCGCTAATGTTGGGTAATGGTTCGGCAGGCGCAAGTTCGAGTTCTACATCGTCGTCATCGTCGTCGTCGTCGATGTCTATGGAGAATTGACTATGCGGGTTTGTTTCGGATGTAGACGCTACTTCGACCATTTCGACATCGGTTTCCAGGGGCTGTAAATTGAAAGGTTGCGGTGGAGTTACGAATGACTCCTGGTGAGTTATGGTGAGTATATGGAAACATTTTTACATACATAATTTACACATTTTTATATGGCAAATTCAAATTATTATTGCTCTTAAAATGACCTTTACTGACGTCATCTTAGCGTATTTCAACAGAGAAATGTCGAAGACCCTATAAAACATATATAATATATAAACGAACAGCGTGCTGAACTGAGCTATATACACGAAGGGTTGTCTCTTTGTTTTTGAGATACCGATTTGAAACTTTGTACGCATCTTTCTCTCCCTAAAAAGCTGCCCATTGGCCGGCACCGCCGATATTGGACCCCTATAGCATATAGCCGCCATACAAACTGATCGATTAAAATCAAGTCCCTCTTTATTTCTGAAGATTTCTTTACTAAATAAGACATGTATTATTGTTCAAGGTAACGGTAAAATTCTCCGAACAAATTGTTTAGATCGGACCATTATAAGGTAACGCTTTTTCAAATTTAAAATTTTTCTTTTGTTAAAAAAAAAATGTTGTGTTGACGTTTAGGGTACGGCCGATATCTTATACATATGATTCGATATCAGCGCTGAGAATTCACACGAGTTTTTCAACTAAAACCGGATAAACCGATTATTAAAATATACAAATCGGGAAACCTACTTAAAAAAAAATAACTCGATATATTTTCCAAAATTGAGTAAATTAATAATCAAACACGATACTGTTAAACCGATATATCAAAATTCGAATAATAAGGTTAATCCTTATTGATATCCGGATATTCGTATACGCAGCGCTGGGCAGCCCTACATGATATTTAGCATACTTGAAAATTCAATACTATGAATTCACCACGTTAGGAAAATATTTTAGTCGCTTTTTCATTTGTTTTGAATATAAGCTGTCTTCGATATGTCTTCTTTAGTCGCTGCTCTCTTGTCTAAAATTTTGCATGTAAAAGCAATAACAAATCGATTTGCGCTCGATGCAAGAAAGTATCTGAATAACTTATTAAATTTTTAGATAAATTTTAAAAACATGAGACTTTAAATAACAGGTAATTCTTTATAGAAAACATTAGGCATGTACGTTTCTAGAACTCAATTAACTACTAAAATTTTAATTGTCGCAGAAAGAAGCATTTATCTAACAAAGGGAGAAACGCAACACTACTGTGCATGGATTAGAGGACACACTACCTGTTAAGTCACTGGTTAATTACACAAGAGTGCTTACAGAGATTTATGTTAAAATTTCTCATAAATTCTTAAAACCGAATTTAAGTTGAGGCGAAAGTCTCCGCACCTTTTTTTTTTTTTAAACAAAGTGCTTCCGAAAAGCCCAAATGAGCGAAAATTGCTAGCGTCGCACTTATCAAGGGTAGAATACTACTATTGTCTACTGTTGTTGAGTCTATCGCACTACTATCTCAGAGCTTAGCTGTCAACATTTCCCACAAATTCTGCAGCAATACTTTCATCTCAAATCTCAACCGCACTGATCAGTGACTTGGTTGGGTTTTTTCATATGCAATTTTTAGTATTATATTAATGTTATTCTTTAAGCTTACTGCATCTGGTTGCGCCACGCTGGGTGCATCTCTATGTACAATAAATTGTTGTACATCAGCTGTGTCCGTGGTGGATGGATTCACTGTGTTAATGTACATGCTTAAGAAACGTAGTGCTTCACCTCGGAAATCTAAAATTTAATATAAAAAGTAATTTTAATCTAAAATTTATCTAATTTGATGGACAGCCACTGGTTAAAGAACTTACACGATAGCGTCGGCACCCAGAGTAAACGCATAAATTGTACCCAATATTGTTGCGCATTATTGCGGCCCACACACACATACAACACGCTATACAGACGTCTAACGAAGTCTTCGCAAACCCGTTTGATGCGCTGCTCGAACGTCGCTAGATTACTCTGCTCATCGCGCACGATTTCGATGAATAGCGGCAACATGTGCCGCAAAAGTTTCACGACCGAGTGGCGTGAGTCATACTCCGGCTTCTCATATTGTGGCAATAATTCCAGTGATTCACCAAACCAGTCGACGGCGCGATTAACCGCAGATGGAACGGTCTCCTCGTTGATTGCGCCACCGGCGAAGATGCGTTGATTAACGAAATTTAGTAGCTGAGTGCGTAAATTGCGCCGGTAGTCGTCCGTGTTAGCAGCGCTTGAGGAAGCAGAGGAGGAGGAGGAGGAGGCGGCGACGACGGCGGCTGCAGCTGTGCCGGATGTGGATGGCGCAGCTGGAGCCGTTGGAGTATTGCGATTTTGTCCAGATATTAAGTTGCGCAATGAGAAGAAATGGTTGGCTGGACGCATTGGCGGTGGCGGTGGGGGTGCATTGGTACGCGCTGTGACTGGAGGCGCACCGCCTACTGTCGGTGTTGAACGTACATTTGGCAAGAGGTCGGCAAATGCGCGTAGAGAGTGTGGATTGATTGTATTCGTGGCTAATAGGTTAGAAAAATGTCCATTTGGGAGAGAGGTTTCAAAAATGGTGGAAATAGTTTATTGTTTTTAATGGCAAAGGAACCAACTTAAAAGCTACTATGTAAAGGTGAGTCAGTTTGCGAATTAAAGCTGTCTCATTAAAATAGAAGTAAGAAAAAGCTAATAGTTAACTACAGACACTTTCCACCACTTTTTAGTATTTTATTTCGCTTGTGCTTCGTACTCACTTATTATTTGTGGCGTTGTATTGTTCATGGAAGCATTTGCATTGGTGTTGCCGTTGCCGTTGCCATTCGACGTGGCACTGGCATTAGCTGCGTTGCCATTATTGCCGTTTTCGGGCTCCCGAATGTGGTGACTATTGCATGGTAGGAAGCGATCGAAAGAGGACATCATATTGGCTGGTATAAAGCGACCATTCCAACCGTTAGCCGGTAAGCCGCCGATCTGCAGTTGCGGGCGCGAAGTTGAACGTGTTTGTGTGGATGTGGTTGGTAGCGTGCCAATTGCCAATGAAGCGGAGACCGGACGATAACCGCTATTAGGAGTCAAAACGATACCAGCGGCTGGTGCTGCATTGTTGCTGTTGCGATTATTGTTGACATTAGCGCCGCTGTTGCTGCCTGTGGCATTGGCATTTGCATTGTTGTTGCTATTATTCGCAGCAGCTGTTGCCGTGGCGTCTGCGGTTGCGGCGGCGGTGGCACGTTGCTGCTGCTCACCATTACCATTGTTTCCACCACGCGCATTCACTGGCACACTTAGTATGGTGGGTGGTAGAATTTGCACATGCAGTTCAGTGTTAATGGGCGCGGAATTCACCATGGCCTGAATTAGACGTGACATTTGCACCTGCGGATTATCTGTAAAAGAGAAAGCAGTTTTTTAAATAATTTTTCAGAAAACACAAATTTTGTAACTTCAAGATCAAACACAAAAATTAGAAGCGTTATTATTCATTGAGATTAATGCAAAAAGAAGCGCAATGCATGAATATTGTTTAAAATTTTTAAAAACGAAATTTGAAATTAGGCGCATGTTTTACATTGAGTGTTAAAGGTAAGAAAGGTCTAACTTCTAGAGTTAGATGCAGAATATAATACAAATCAACAATTAAAGTATGTATGTGCTTCAAAATTAGTCTAATGTAATCGATATTTTGTGACTTTATTTTTTCAGCCGCAAATAGCCGTTTTTACACCGCACTTTTGCAGGTAAAAAACCGTAATTTATATATTTAATTATGAATAAAAAATATTATATATAAAAAGGGTTTTTTATCAATTGTATTGTTCTTTTATAAAATTATCGATTTTTATTTTATTTAACCTATTATAATTCTAAGTTTTTTTTTAATTTATAGCAATATTAATTGATTTTATAATAATCTACTATATCTCAAAGCTAATCGTTCCATCCATATTTGCTTCTTTCGCGATAAAAAAAATAATCGTTATTTTGTAACTTTTATATTTTCTATGATAAATAATAATTCGTTTTTTATTTATTTTTTTCAATAAAAATAATCGTTATTTTGATCGAAAAAATATAACTCCCCGAAAAGTGGATAAATGCCAGCGAAATATCTTAAAAAACTAGTCATGCAACAAATTGAAAAAAAAGTATATATATATATATTTTTTTTCGAAATAGTCCTATTTACCATATCTACCTGCTTTAAAACTAATATAATTCGCAATAATTTTTTTTTATTAAAAAATGACAAAAAAAAAAAAATAAACGCGAATAGTGCAAATGCATTAAGTCAAAATAAAAACAAAAATATAAAACTCAACAAACAACAAAAACCAAAACCTACTGCCAATATACAATCCGCGTCTCGGTTGGAGCATAATCTCTATGGCACTATCATCTATAATAGTTGCAAAACGCATACAATATATATAAAATGTACACTGAAATACTAAGGATTGCGTTTTACCAAACTGTACTTAGTCTTACCGTTGCTTTGCGTGGCCGCATTCGCTGCTGCTGCTGTAGTACTCGTTGCATTCGGATTGATTAGCGGTTCATCAACTGGATCATCAATCGAACTACCGCTGCCGCTGCCACTTGCACTGGCGCTTGCAGTTGTGCTGCTGGTGTTGCGATTATTATCGGCGCTACTACCAGCGCCGCCGTTTCCAGCACTACTACTACCACCACTATTGTTGCCTGCTTCGGCAGCAACAGCAGCATTTCCACCTGCTGTACTATTAACATTACCGCTTGCAGTGGTCGGTGGTGAACTGGTTGTTATGGTGACAGGATGATTGTAACGTGGTGATATAAAGGTGCGTGAACGTGGACGCTGTTGGTTATTACCAGAGGCGGCGGCAGCAGCAGCCGCTGCAGCAGCTGATAAATAATTATTGGAACTAACATAACCACTTTGCTCTACCAATATAGGGCGACAAGTGAGAAAACGCGGTGCAGGCTGTGATACGTCCAACATCAAATCAGATATGGCATGTTGGGCATGCGACATATAGTGTAGCGCCTCAGAAACACGATTGTAAAGGCGCTGTGCATTATCGCGATCGGTTGTATTCTATAATTATGTAATCAAATTGAGGTTTTATTTAATTTAATTTATAAATTATATGCAATACACACCTCTTCCTCGTATGTTGGATCATTATTTAACAATTCGTAGAATTGCTGTATGAAGGGATTGAGACGTGTCTGTACAATGCGCATTTGTTCGACCACTTCCGCCAAAACTCGTGTGTTGGTGCGGCGACGTGAGGGATTCTCCTCCGTGTTTGTACCCGTTGTTGTAGATGCACTCGAGATGTCGGTTGTGGATGCGTCGGATGTTGTTGTGTTAGCAGATGATGTGGTATTATTGGTAGAACTGGTACCAGTAGTGTCGGAAGCAAGGCTAATATTAGCAGCCACTCCTTCGTAAGCATCATCAATAACATCCTCTATAATAACAGCAGCAGCAGCATCGGCATCACCATCAGCATCCACATCCACGTCCGCATCAACAGCAGCAGTATTGTCAGTTGCATCCATACTAGCCACACCTTCGGCACCATTCGCAGCGGCAGCTTCACCCTCGTTGGAACCGAAGACTGTGGGTAACTGCACAACAGTCACGTTTGTGTTGCTGTTTCGACGTAACGCTGCTGAGACAGCATCTTGTACCATTTCCACAATATTTTGGTTTTGTGGTAAGTCAGCGGCGGTAAACCCCACTTCGACCACAGTGGATTCCATGGTCCAGCTGCCGCGCGCCAATATATCTAGAGAAGTGTTATTAAGACCCTAAAATTTGTATATTAGTAATATTAACTGTATTTCATAGTTTTTATTGATAAATATTTACCCGTTCCGGATCCTCCAAATAGGCAGCAATATTATTTGCACAGTCTAACATATGCCGAGCCACTGTTATGCGGTTCATACAAAATGACGAAGAAGCCGCAAATGGATTTACCTGTTGTTGGCCGTTATTTTGCTAAAATAAGAGTAAAAATATAATTTAATAGTTAATAGCGTTAAAATATGCTGTACACTTACAACAGGATTCATTGGTATTGCCATGGTACCAACAACCATGCCGTCCAGTGCTCTAAACAAAGGCGAATTCCGCATCCCACCGCGATTGTTGGTACGCTCACGTGTGTTGGGTGTATCGTTCGTAGATGAATTGGAAGTAGAGGGACCACGCTGTGACGGCGGTGGACGCTCAGCCACGTGAACCACTTTTCCATCGACATCTATTAGTTATATTAAATAAATTTAAAAAATTTCCATGGCAACAAAAATGCAGAAGATAAACATCTCAAATAGGCTAACAAATAATTATTGGTTATTTTAATAAAGTTTTTTTGGAATCTAACAAAATTATTTAGCAATTTTAATATATAATGTTGTTTCATTTAAATTTTTATCATCAAAAAATTTAAACTGTCAAATTTCAACTGTATCTAAACATAAGCTATATGAAAGGTTTTTTTTCGGTAGCCTGCATTTGCTATTCATATATTTTGACTCACCGTATTCTTTCAATTGTTTCTCATCAACAAGAACACGACCACAATAAATGATACGTTGTTGGTCTGCGGAAATGTTGGTTTTCTCAGCGATTTTGTCCTTAAATTCGCGAATGGTCAACTGTAGAACAGCAAAATAACGTGAAAATATATGGAAATCTATTAATATTGTTACGACAATAGCGCTACGATATGCGGAGGCGGTCATTTGCAGACAACCCCTCCCCTTCATACTAGGGAGTGGTGCTGTTTGTCATGATTTAGAAATTTCCAATCTTTTAACCGCAAACTGTCACTTACCTCATTATCAATACTAAAGTCATGCGTTTGAGCATCGAGTGTTTTTACTCTTAAATTTATTAACATTTTGCGTGGTGACGGCACTGTCCTGACGAAACACCGAAAATGTTGGCTAATGTGGTGTAAGGTGTATAGCGCCTAAACGCGTCTAGTCAATCACAGAAATATAATTACTTTATGCACGGTTACTTGCGTTTGAATGCGCCTTTATATTATTTTCGTACTTTAACCAAATTCCGTTTGATTTGTTGTTGCTGGTGTTAGGAAAATTTTTTATTTTTCCAGAAAGTTTTTTACATCAGACGGTGAATGCAAACGTTGAAAACGTCAGATTCGCGCATTTGACATTTATTTGACAGTTATAAATGAGTGTGTTTTTTTAACAAGATGTTTTTTTTGCTATTTTATTTTAAAGATTTGCAACGTCTAGTCAAAGGTAAAAATATGCTGTCACTTTCACTCTATATTAATGCATGCGGGCAAACACATTGGTTGCGTTCTTTTCACACACACATACAGAACCTTCCAATTGGAGCACCTTGCTAGGCATTGATGGTTGGGAAAAATTCTTATAGGCGGCACGGAATAGGACTACTTTTACGGAGTTTTCTTAACGTAACTGTTTATACACTCCTAAAATCGAATTTCTGTATATTTTTCTCGCACTATAGCCTTTCGAACTTTGAGTATTTATTTTAACTTGACACTTTTCTATTGTTTTTCTCAACCAAATTTCACTGCAAGCGAAAAATCGGCATTCGACTTTTGCTCCACAACTGAAATGCTACCGGACATAATAAAAAACTTGCGTTGCCAACCATCGTAGCACGTGATGCCAGAAGACAGCATGGGGTGTATATTTAATACAAGTTTTGAAAAGTACGCATATTAAACTAAATTTGTATTACTTTGTTGTTAGTTTCATAATATGAATGGTTTTATATATGTATACAATAAAATATGTTATGTCATATCACCCAATCTATTTTGCTTCATCTGCACAACTAAGAAACTAACTGATGATTGGCAACACTGTCAGTGTTTGTCAGCAGTTTGCAATTGTGAATGATTTTTTGATTTTCGAAACAAAATACGACAAATATAGGTTTTCAATTTATGGACGTTAATTTCATTCTATTAAATTATTTAATTAATATTTAATGACATTTTTTGTAGTTTGATGTATTTTAAAAGTTAATTGGCCATTAAGGCATAATAAATTATTGCTTGCCAATGAAAGTACAGATATACCCAAGAAATACATAAGTAGTTCATATTGGAGTGTGAACCTGTAGTCACTTCCTTAACCTATCAGAAGCTTTGAATTTGTTGGTCACATATATTCAGTTTGAGTACTAACCTCCATTATATAGCTTCATGAACATCATTTGATTCCGAAAATATATCGAATAACGTGACATCACAATTGGTTTTATATATCGCCTAACCACATATTGGGCATAATATAAATCCACTAGCAGGGTGTAAAAATCGCCAGTACCTATGCACACCACCTCATCTGAATCAGAGAGGACGTTCTGCATTGCTGGAAATATTGTGACGACACGTAGAAGCTGCTTGCACCCAAAAAATGTTAACCTTTTAACTTTCTTATATCAAAATAGACGTTTTATGATAAATCGTGATTTAATAATACCTTCGCCCAATTTCTAAATTGAAATGGTTAAGAGTTCTTTTGTGATTTTTCCATCATGTTAGTTCCGTTATATTACTCAATTGTGAAACTTATTTGTTATTTTTTATCTTTTAAAGCAAGTTTTTTGTAAGTTTTCATTTTTTATAGATTTCTTTAATTTTTCTTACTGTATTAAAAATAGCTTGTGATAAACAGCAAATTTCATAGAACGAATCAGTTTACGAACATTTATTATTGAATGTTTTCCTTTTTTCCATAACAATAAGAAAATGAATGAACGCTTACTATTTGAATAGTCGACAACGAACAGTTAACCGGATAGTCGAAAATGAGCGGTTAATCGAATAGTCGACGACTTACGACTATTCGGATGCTGCAAATCGAATATTATTATTCGAATAATGCCCTAGCCGGTTAAGAGGGGAACTGGGTTAATTCGTGTGATATTGTGTAAAATTTTTTTGGAGAAATATTAAAAATTACTACAATGGCAGCAATTATGCGAAAGTGTCTTGGTAAAAAGAGGATTGCGGCGTTCCGATGCTGGGTTAAAAATTGTTTAAACCCTGTTGTTCCTTATTCCGGTTAGTCGATTAGTCTAATACCAAGAGTTCTAATGTACATACAGGTGTACATAAAACTCTACTAAGTTACAGTAGAGAGAAAATTATCAATTTTTAAAGGCTTTTAATATCTTTAATACCCATTTTATAATTTACAAAAGTCAGCCATATTTGTCTGTAGATATATCTGTTACCTAACAAAATCTTTAAATGTAAAACTGGTAATAGTAATAATTTTGTACGTATGTACCTACCATATGTACATATAATCATATATGTATGTATGTATGTATATATATTTGTATTGGAATTCAGAATGTACAAGCAGCAGCAATAAAATAATCAGCTTCATTGTAGTACTGCATAAATTTGCATAGCAAAGGTACTGTGCAACAACGCCACAACAATCCACATCAGAGCCTCAGACAATGTCAAAATAAAAAAAATAAAAACGTGAGAAAAAGACTTGTAAAAGAAAAATATAACAACAACACAAAGCAACAAAATAGTACAGTGGAAATGCAAACTTATGTCAATTGTAAATTAAGCGTGGAAATAAGCAAAGTACTGGCGCATGCCACATGCAACATGATTCCACTGGCAAATGGCAAGGTAAAAGGCTTAGGCTATAGTTAACTGTCAGACGCGCTAAAGAACTGAAAAGCTGTTAAAAGATAGACGGTTTACTAAAAAAATACTAAATAAAAGCGAAAAGAAACCGCATATATACATATATATAAATATATATGTACATATACCTATACTAGTATGTATTTATATTATACGTATGTATGTATGTGTACCAAAATGCATGAGAAGTTATTCGCTGCAACAACGAATGTTTCAGGTATGGGAGGCAGCATGAGTTCGGATTATTATGCGCCAGGAAATGTACAAATTTCAGGGTTAACGGTGTTGATAAATGGGTTGCAGTTTGGTGTGTGTATGTATCCTGTTTTACATATGCAAGCGTAATAATATGAATGCATGAATATATGCATACACGTACATACATACCTTTGCAATACACATATGCATAGGTGCACCATATGTAAGTGTGACTAAACATTTCCATAAAGTTCAGCTTAAATTTATTTTACTCGTATAATATTTAAATTGCTGAAAAATGTGCTTTATATCAAATCACCAGAGAATTGTGGCGCGAGACAGTCAAGGCATAACTTTCGACCGATTGAATACTTGTCTTTCTATTCACACACATCCATATGTATGTATAGGCAACTACAAAATGCGATTGCTTTGAAGTGGTATACTTGTAAAAAGACCTGTCAGTGCTTTTTAATACACCTCCCTGAAAGGCAGATCACAAGGCGTCAGTGGGATTGTAAATATACATATATTTTTATATACGCATAAAATTCGAAGGTACTCACGTTTATAATAGAATTTTTCTTTAATCAATCACTATATCTTAGAATACCTTTTTTATATTAACTAAAATACATGGATATTGGTTTCTAAAATCTGATATTTTTATTTTTAAATTTTTTCCTTCACATTCGTGTCTTTTCTCTTCTAAATTGTTCGTATGTCATTACTTTTAACCCCTAAACTGTGAAAGCAATCTAAGTTACAGATAAATCTCAAGTATGAAGTATGAAGTTTAATTGCTCAGCTTACTCGTTGAACTTTACTCAATGACGATTTAAATAAGCCAACTAACATGAAGTCATAACCGTAAAAAGAACACACGTTCACACCCATACAGCTATGTGTGTGAGTCTCACTTCTGAGGCATGCATGAAATGAAATTTGTAAGCTAGAAATTTTGAGTGTGTGCTGCAACAGGCCTCAAGGCATTTTCGGCAGATTTCCTTTTGCAGCAGCACACGCACTCACACACACGCCATTTGCACCTGTTCCTGCGAAATCCTTTGTGCAACTTGCCAAGCATGAGAAAAAGGTGCTGCTTGAGTTAATATGATTGAGCATTTTCCCACCGGAGTTTAACGCACACTTATACACACAAATCTAGCGCTGAAGTGGCGTTGTTGGTTGAAAAAAAAAATTAAAAAAGAGCGTAAAACGACAATCAGCTCAACGCTCACTTTAAACACAAAAGAGTGGGCACACACACACACACACATGCATGCATTAAAAATAAAATAAAATGCAGAAAATAAAAATATTCTCAAAGCAAAAAATAACATCAAAATTTCACACCACTTGGCGCAACTTGCTCTATCGTCATTTTGCTGCCTTGCAGCTGCATCCTGTGGGATTTCGTGTGCTTACACCGTTAAAGTTTGCCTGCTGTGGCTTTGAATTCATGAGTGCGCGAGTGCATTGCGGCGTTGGAAATAAAGAAATGTGCGGAAATTTGATTTAAATAATGTTTGTTGTTGTTGCTGTTTGCGATCCGGCAACTTATACGCCAACTAACACCGATTGTGTGCGGTTATGCTTCTACAAGGATATGTGCATATTTCCGCTGTGCTGCTTCGCTGCCTCGCTAGCACCTTGGTTGGATTAGCTTAACCGAGCCTTAAATCTTGCATAAATCTTTTGTAATAAATAAGAAATGATGCTGCTGCCGCGCAGCTTCGGAATTAATTTCGTTTTACCTGAGTGAGTGATGTATGCGAGGGTGGCGGGGTGGAGTGTGTAAATGTAGCTTAAGCGTAAAAATTTAAAAAGTGACGGTTAAGCGTACTTAGGTGTTTAGACAGAATGAATTTCGGATGAAGCGGCAGCTTGTCTCTATGCGTCACAAATTAGTGTCGCTACGGAAGGTTGAACGGGGTATAGTACCACTTTACTCGTTCCCAGAGCAGAACCTCTATGAATGATGAGTAATCATTACGGCTAGAATGGCCACATCTCATATTTTATCTAAAATTATTTTATTAAAAAGTATTTTTAAAGCTCTTTTGTTCAATATCTTCTTTCCAATATGATCAAGTTTATGAATTGAATGCTTTTCGAAAGTGGCAACCCTTTTTCAAAATTTTATCAGTTTAAAGTTTTTTAATCTTATCTTCCCCTGAATACCAATATTGTAAGAGTCAATTAATTTTCTTAATTTGTGGCGGCTAAGGATTGCCTAATTTCTGATAGAAAAATTTTCCAAATAATATTTTCAATGAGGATTTGATAAGAATTCTCAAACGGCTTTAGTTTACTACTACTACTACCTACCTACTTTTAACTTTTGGCAACTCTCCTCAAAATTGTTTATCAATATTAATTTTTTTAAGTCTTTTCAATTTGATACCTATTTTCCAATAATTTGTTAATATGACCAATTAAAAAAAATTAATATATTTACAGCTGGCAATCCTCTTTATACATATTTACAAATGTAAGTTCCTTTAAACCTCTTTAGTTTGTATAGTTCAACCAGGCTATTGTAGTGTTTCATCTTCCTTTGTGACTTAAAAATTTCAAACAGATGGCAACATTTTATCTTCCGTGTATTTTACTTCAAAACACTTTACTTTAAACGTAAGCTTTTCCGAAGCTTAAAAAAACTTCGAATTTATTCTCTATTTCTGTTTTTCCAACAACTTAATAACAACCCTATATAATTTTTGGATGTAAGTTTGTGAACCCAAAAAATGAAAACTACACATATTCCATGGGTTACTAATGCTCGGCGTTACTGTAAGTCTAAGCGAGCTTACCTTCTGATACAAAAAATGGTACTACACCAGGCGAAATCACCAGTCGTATGTGATGAAACTTCAGTGAAAC